ATAAAAAAGGTAAAAAGTCTCCCTCTCGATCGTATCCAACTCTAGGGCACCGGGTTCACCTACGTTTCTTGGCTGAGGGAACCGGCGTTGTCCGAAGACTATTTCTGTGGTCGTGTGGCCAGCATGGCTAAACGCCAACGGTGCATGGGAAGCGGGTTAAGAGGGACAGAGAACATATGGCTAACTCTCTTTTTGATCCACTGGGGGGATTAAAAAGTGTATTGTGCTTAAGATTGCTAATTGCAAGTGTGTGTGTGTGAGGATGAGGAAAAGAGCAGAGTAGTGGGCTTTCATAAGATTACCCTTATTCCCCCCTACAAAGCTCCCCCTTCCATGCTTTTTTCAAACTACACCGTATTTGGGGTGGTGGTGGTGGAAATCTTAATTAAAAAGGTCCTGAGGCTTATAGCGTATGAGGCCTGGGGGTGGGGGTGGGGGGAGAGACAGAGAGAAAAGAGAACCCTTAAAAATGAACCTGGCATATTAATTTTTAGAAATCCCCCCCCCCCCACTCCTGCAAAGAGGTTTTACATATATATAATATATATATTTAGATTTAGATTTATATATGCATATAGACGAGTAAAAACTTCCCCGCCCCTACATTTTTTTCTGGCTTCCAAAGAAGGAGAAAGAGCATGTACAGAGTTCCAGGCCAAGGAAGGAAAGAAGGAAGGAAAGAAAGAGAAAGGAAAATAGAAAGATAATCTCTGAGTTAAGGCAGCAAAATCAGCCCACCCACCCTGTCCTCGGTCCATCTGTCCAGAGGGAGGGAGAGCCGCATGTCCTGTCTAGCAGTCCCGATTCTCCAGGGTCAGCTCAGCTGTGGCCTGCTGCAGCTCCGTGCTGATCCGCCGGCCTCCAACCGCATCCCCGTGACCACCGGTGTCCTCCTCGCCCTTCACTTTCTTGTCGTCTGTTTCGTCACCCGTTGCACCGGCTTCCAGCCGCTGATCCTCACTCCAGCGGCGTTTGAAGCGTAATTTCAGGGGAATGCATTTGCCGCTCTCCCCAGCCCGAGAAACGGGGGGCGCCAAGGCTGAAGTCTCCCCGTTTTCGATCTTCTCCAGGGGAGCTGAAGGAGCCTTAAAGACCTCCTCGTCATCCTCGCTGATATCCGTGACCTCTACGGTGAGATCTTCTTCGGACTCTCCCTCCGAGATGGGTTCCACTTTGATCTGGGGGACGAGGGTCTCCGGAGCAACTGCAGAAGAGGAGGCGGCGGTGGGAAGGCCACCGCTGGAGTTTCCCGGGGGCGCAGCTGGAGCTGGCGGAGGCTGCTTGTCACGGTTGCGGCGCCCCAACGGTGGTGGCTGCAGCTTGAATTTGAAAGGGCTGGGGGGCTCCTCGGCTTGCGGGGGTGGAGGGGGAAGAGGGGGCTTCTCCAGGCGCTGAGGCTGCGGGATGATGATGTTGGGGTAGTGGAGGAAGGCCCTGGGGCTGAGATGGTAGTTGTACACACTCTGGGTGTGCGCTTGGAGGTAGCGCTTCATGTCCTCAGGGTTGAAGGAGAAGTGGGAACCGCTGGGGTACATGGGGCTGAGGGTAGGTGAAGGAGTGTAATTCATGTGAGTGGGGGTGAGGGGGAGGGCAGGGGACAGCTGGGGGGGCAGAAGAGCAGCAGGCCCAGCCATGGGGGACACAGGGAAGGGGCTGAGAGGCTCAGGAACTCGCGGGCGAGGGTAGATCCTAAAGAGGGCGTCGTGGGTCAAACGTGGATGGCCGGGCAAGGGGGGCCCACGGAATCCACCCGCCTCTCCACCGCCGCCACGTCGCTGCTCTTCAGCCAATGTCTCCTCCACTTCTGAATTGGCCGAGGTGCCGTCGCTGCAGTCACTGACTGAACCCCGAGCGAGGCGGCGAGCCACGGCGGAGAAGACCCCAGGCGAACGCAGATCCTCGGCCGGTGACAAGACGTCAGATGGGGTGGAAGGGGGGAAGCGGAAGTGGGAGCCACCTGAAGGCACAGGTGGAGCGCTTTGGGGCACGGCCCCACCTGCGAGGAGGAGGAAAGCAAACCGGGGAAAATTGGCATTAGAAGAACCGAGGATGAAAATGTCTAAGAGGAGAACTAACCTCCCTCTCCCTTCAGCCAATCCTTTCTCAGAGCCCAGTTGCAACAGAGTCAGCTCAAGGAAGCATTCACAAGACCAGTTGACCTGTTCAATATCTATCCCCATTTGTCAAAGGCCCTTCCCCACTCAGGCATCAAAGCTCAGGTCCACATGTGAAAGTCTCAATTAAACTGATTTATTGCTAATCGTGCTTAGACACACCTATCTTCTCCACTAACTGCCCGGTAACCTGCTTAAGCGTTAGATAAGGATTAAAAGGGTTAGACTTAGTCTGCTTGTAGTTATGTAGAGATTCTAGGCTGACGCCCCTTTTCTCTCCGTCTCCAGGTGCTGCCACCCCTTCTCCTACATCCCCAGACACGGTAGCCTCTCATCCATGTCACCCTAGATCAGGGGTATCCAAGCTTGGCAACTTTAAGACCTTTGGACTTCCAACTCTACTGTTGAAGATCTTAAAAACTGCCAAGCTCGCTCGGACATCCCCACCCTTGATCTTTTGAACCGGCCACATCCTGGAGAGTATTCTTCTTGGGCAAATACATATTTCTCATTTTCCCCTGGGGCCAATCATCCACCCAGAACAGAACCCAGAATTTAATCTGAAATTCCTTCTGTTTACCTCCACATTAAAAAAAAAAAACACCTCTACCTATACTGTATTTCCATTACATCTACAGAGACACTCCCATTCCAAAGTTAAATTATTTAATGGGAAATTTATCTTCCTTATGGGTCAAGATACTTTTCCATAACTAAAATAAGACCTTTGAACCTCTTTTTTTTTCTCCTTTGGGGCACACCCAATAGAGCCACCACGGCGTAGAAGTATGCGTGTCTGTTACGGGGGTTGGTGGTTGCTAGTTTTTCCAGCGGAACTAAACACTTTAAACTTAAGTTTCTTTGGCTTTCTAGCCATGGGTTCAAGAAGGTCTGCAGAAGAGCAGAGAGAAGGTTGCCCGGATACTGTGCAAGTCCTCCCACCATACTCACCTGCCATGCCCATGTCGATGAAAGGGTAGTTGACCAGCACCAATTTGTTAAAGTTGAACTTATAGGTGAAACGTTTGCCTTTGGTCTTATGCAGGATCCGCTTGTTGTAGTAATACCTGCAGGATTGGGAGGAGGAAGAGGAGGAAGGAAGGAAAGGAGGAGGGGGGGGGAAGAGGAAGAGGAGGAGGGAAGGGAGGAAAGGAGAAGGAGGAAAAGAGGAGGAGGGAAAAGAGGAAGAAAAAGAGGAGGAAGAGAAGGAGATGGAAGGAAGGAAAAGAGATGGAGAGGAAAAGAGGAAGAAAAAGGGGAGGAAGAGGAGGAGGTGGAAGGAAGGAAAAGAGGAAGAGGAGAAGAGGAAGAGAAGGAAGGTAAAGAGGAAGAGGAAGAAGGTAAAGAGAAAGAGGAAGGAAAGAAAAGAGGGAAAACAGAAAGATGAAAA